TTTTTATTTGACAGAAAAGAGCTATAAGAGAGCTATCAGTAGAGAATACTACGATCAACCAACAAATATTATTTCATCAGTTGAAATTATGATTTGCTTGATTGTGGTATTTGCAAGTCATGTATAAGGCTCCAAATATTACCTTCTAATATTCAATCTGAATATGTTAGAGAGTCACTACAACCTTAAGGGAATGGAGTTTTTTGTAAAACTTCATTTCGAACAAGTTTGAAGGAGTGCTGTTGTAATTCAGGCAATAGGTTTGTAGAATAGTCTTGATTTCAATATAAAAGCTTCTACAACATTTTACATGTTTAAAAAGATAAAGTTAAATTTATTGTGAAAGTATGATGCTATAGTGTTCAGTGAAGATACGATTCCTGATGTTATTTTTGTTTTTATTTTGTTTTATTTTCTCATATAGTTGTTTGCTTGTTTGAAAGTGTTTTTTTTATAAGGGCCAGATCTAAGATGTGTTTCTTCTTTCTACACTCTTTTCAGTCAGTAATTGATTTACCTTTTTATGGAAGTTTTGTTGTTTTTGTGAATAAAATGAATAAATAAAATAATTTAAAAATATCCCCTTTGATGTTACTTCCTGTTTCACTTTGGCTAAGCAAAGACAATATGCCTGTTATGAAACAAAATGAGTAAAATCATGTGTATCATGCCAAGTTTCCTAAATGTAAAGATGTTTTCTTTGATTTTTTTGTATTTAAAGGATATGCATGTCACAGGCACTTTAAAGACTTCACCCAACAACTATGCGTGAAGAGAGACAACTCCTCTCCTCAAGCAGGAAATTAAGAGAAGCAATACTATCAGGGAACCTACAAAGCATCACACACCTCCTGTGTTTCTCCGATACACTTCACATTATTATATTCACAGTTTACCCAACTCCCCGGAGAGCAAAGAATTGCAGTGTAGCGAGGCTCTTTGTGCCAAAAAGGTTGCCATGACAATAAGATTTCACTCCCACCATCCAGTTAGTTTCATTGTAT